AGGGAGGGAAGGAGAGGGGAGAGGGAGGGAGGCAAAGAAAAGCATGGATGATAAAGAGACACATCAACTGGCTGCCTCCCGCACACGCCCTGACCAGGGCCAGGGATCCAACCTGCAACCCAGGTACACGCCCTTGACTAGGAATCGAACCTGAGACCCTTCAGTGTGGGGGCCAATGCTCTAACCACTGAGCAGCACTGGTCAGAGTAACAGTTACCTTCTTAAACCATGTTAAAGTGTACAGGTCAGTGGTATTAAGTACATTCACACTCTCATACAACTATCACCACCATCCATTCGCAAAACTCTCTTCAACTTGCAAAACTGAAACTGTTCCCATTAAACACTAACCCGTCATTCTCCCCTCCCTGCAGACCTGGCAACCACCCTTCTACTTTCTGTCTCTTTAAGGATCTGACTGCTCAAATATTTAACATCTCCCCCTAATCTGATGAAGCTGGCTGGTCTCCAAACCTACCATGGACCCCTCTTTCTTCACAGCAGTCCTGCACTGACCCGTCTTGGTGCCGCCCTCAGCGGCTTCCACTTTCTTCCAAGCATCAAGTCGGAATCTTTCCATCACTTTTATTTCTTCCCGAAGGTCTGTGTTCTCTTTGACCAGCATTTCTATCTGGCTTCTAAGACGGCCAAGTGTGCTTGACCATTTTGCTTCTTTTCTTTTCAAATCTTCCTGTAAATCTGCCACCTGCTGTTTCAAAGCCTGTCACACACACACCCCCCCAAAAAAAGCATTAGAATTAAAACAATGAAATAGAAGAAAAAAGACAGACTAGCTAGCCTAGTACAGAGAACAGAGAAGGGAAGGTTCAGTCAATCACATTTCAATAAAGCTGGGATTTTCAGGAAAGGGAATAGGGGTTCACTTCATACCATCAGCAAAATTAATTCCAGGAATCAGAAGGAGGAAGCAGACACCACTTATAAGTTCACTGAAATAACATGGCCTTGATATTAATTAAAATATAAGAGATAAACAGGGGATATCTAGTGAAGAAAAAATTAATAGGAATTAATTACCAACTAAAGGAAGAAGAGCTGAAGTGAAGAGAATAAAAGATTCAAAGTCAAAACTACCAGCCCTGAAAACTGATTCTACTGGGAATTTATAAGAAATAGATTTTAAGAAAATGAGTTTAGATGAACTAAATGACCTAAGTGAAGAAAGTCCTGGAAATGTCTAGAAGCAATCTGCAACTGTGTAAAGAGAAATAGAGATCAATGTCAGAACTAAGGAGAGATGGTCAACTAGCTACTCAGCATACGTAGGTACAAGTCATGGGGAGTGACTGCAAGCTAAGGAAAGAAGTATAGACAGAAGCAGGAAGCATTCCCCACCACCCACTGAGAGCCTGTTCATTCAGATATGGAACTGAAGGCAGTGAGAATCCTAACCACCTCATTAACACGCACTGACAACCTGACACCCATCCATGCTCATACAAACCTCACAACAGCCAACAAAGTGCTGCTCCAGTGAACACATGAATGATAAGAAAACGAAACAGCCTACTGCTCACATGGAGAAAGTTATAGTTGTCTGGAGAGATCAAACCAGCCACAACATTCCCTTAAACCAAAGCCTAATCCAAAGTAAGACTCTAAAGCTTCAATTCTGTGAAGGCTGAGGGAGGTAAGGAAGCTTAGAGGAAAAGTCTGAAGCTAGCAGAGGTTGGTTCATGAGGTTGAAGGAAAGAAGCAGTCTCCATAACATAAAAGTTCAAGGTGAAGCAGCAAGTGCTGATGTAGAAGCTGCAGCAAGTTATCCAGAAGATCTAGCTAAGATAATGAAGGTGGTTACACTCAACAAGATTTTCAATGTAGACAAAACAGCGTTATATTGGAAGAAAATGCCATCTAGACTTTTAAAGCTGGCAAGGAGTCAATGCCTGGCTTCAAAGCTTCCAAGGACAGGCTAACTCTGTTAGGGGCTAATGCAGCTGGTGACTTTAAGTTGAAGCCAGCGCCCATTTACCATTCTGACAATCCTAAGGCCCTTAAGAATTATGCAAAATCTACTCTGCCCGTGCTCTATAAATGGAACAACAAAGGAAGAATGAAAGCACATCTGTTTACAACATAGTTCACTGATTATTTTAAGCCCACTGTTGAGACCACTGCTCAGAAAAAATATTTCCTTTCAAAACATTACTGTTCCTTGACAATGCACTTGGTCACCCAAGAGCTCTGATGGAGATGTACGAGAGTAATGGTTTTTCATCCATTTTGCAGCCCCTGGATCAAGGAGTAATTTTGACTTTCAAGTGTTACTAATTAAGAAATGTACTTCATAAGGCTATAGCCGCCATAGATAGTGATTCCTCTGATGGATCCTGGCCAACTATAAATTGAAAACCTTCTGTAAAGGATTCACCTTTCCAGATGCCATTAAAAACATTAATGATTCATGGGAAAAGATCAAAACAATAACATTAACATTAACATTAACATTAACATTAACATTGACATTAACATTAACATTAACATTAACATTAACATTAACATTAACATTAACATTAACATTAACATTAACATTAACGAGTTTGGAAGTTGATTCCAAACCTCATGGATGACTTTGAGGGGATCAAGACTTCAGTGGAGGAAGTAACTGCAGATGTGGAAATAGCAAGAGAACTAGAATTAGAAGCGGAGCCTACAGATGTGACTGAATTCCTGCAAATTCAAGCTAAAACTTTAACAGATAAGGAGCAAAGAGAGTGGTTTCTGGAGATGGAATCTACTCTTGGTGAAGAAGCTGTGAAGATGTTAAAATGAAAACAAAGGACTTAGAATATTACATCAACTTAGTTGATAAAGCAGTGGCTGGGTTTGAGAGAACTGACTCCAATTTTGAAAGAAGTTCTACCGTGGGTAAAATGCTATCAAACAGCATCACATGCTACAGAGAAATCATTTGTGAAAGAATCAATCAATGCAGCAAACTTCATTGTTGCCTTATTTTAAGAAATTGCCACAGCCACCCCTACCTTCAGCAACCACCACCCTGGTCAGTCAGCAGCCATCAATGTTGAGGCAAGAACTTCCACCAAAAAAAGATAATGATTCACTGAAGGCTGGTTAGTATTTTCTGGCAATAAAGCATTCTCTCATTAAGGTATGTATGTAGTTTTTTAGACATAATGCTATTGCACACTTAAGAGACTACAGTACAGTGTAAACATAACTATCATATGCAACAGGAAACCAAAACATTCATGGGACTTGCAATATTCACTTTATCAAGGTGGTCTGGAACCAAACCCACACTACCTCTGAGCCTATACCATCTCTTTAATCTTTTAATGATTTAATAAGTGGAAGCACAATAAATATAGGTTTGTTTTCAATTAAGTATATACCTGTTTCTAAAGTATGTATTTGCATAGAAGTAGGAAGAAGGGTAAATATAGGAAATTACAAATGAGCCATCTAGTTTAAGAAAAACAAGGAACTGTACCAACAACAGAAAGAAAGAATGAACATCCATGGTTACACACAATATCAAGTCTTTTGAAAAGGGCCTAATACTTACATCAACACTAACAAAGTAGAAAGAGGGCTCAAGAAAAAGTTGCAAAATTATGAAATGGTCTAATGTCCTAAAGAGGAAAGCTAACTCACCAGGTCTCCAGGAGATGAGGCCTCTACATCAATACTGTCCAGAACTTTCCACAATGATGGATGTGTCCTGGATCTGCACTGTCCAATGTGATAGCTACCAGTCACACAATGGCTACTGAGTACTTGAAATGTGCCTAATGTCACTGAGAAACTGAATTTTTAGTTTTATTTAATTTCAATTAACTTAAATTTATAGCCACATGTGGCTAATGACAAGCAGACTGGTAAGAACAGGCTTAGAGAATAAGAGGATACATTATTTGAAGAAAAGGCACCAGGTTAGAATAAAGTAAAAGCTATATGTTATTCTCACCAAAGTAAGTAGAACTTAAAATAAGAAAGCTCATTTGCTATGGTTTGAACAATGGAAGAAGAAATCACAGCTATGACAAAGAGGGGAAGGTGGGGAGAATCAAGCTTATAATCTTGGGTGGTCTAAGAAGGTTGGTGTTTTTGTTCCTTTTGGGTTTCTAAGATTTTTATAACATAGCAAGATATCAAAGTAAGTATTGCTCTACTCCTAGGAGGCTCAGGAAGAGTAAATATGAAATGACAAACCCATTGTGCAAATATTTTAGCATAGGTTATGGTTTTAAATTTAGTGAAGTTTTCTGATAGCTGAATTTGATTTTAACTACTGTTAAAGTATCTTAAGTGGCCCTAGCCTGGTACCTCAGTTGGTTAAAGCGTGGTCCCGATATGCCAAGGTTGCAGCTTTAATCTCCAGTCAGGGCACGACTTACAAGAAGCAACCAATGAATGAGTAAATAAGTGGAACAACAAACTGATGTATGTCTCTATCTCAAATCAATAAATAAATATTTTTAATAAAGTATTTGAAGTGTTCACAAAAAAAGTCTTGCTAAATTTGTATTATTATAGATTAGAATAATAATCTATAATCTAGATTATAGATTTTAAAAAGAAATTCAAGTAAGTTTAATATAAATTTTTAATCTTTTACCTAGCAGGCAAAGAGCAAAAACCACTCTAATAATTGCTAGTAGAATTAAAAGTTGAAATGATATTTATGAAGAGATAATCTGGCAATATCTATGAATGTACATATCACCCCCTTTACCTAAAAATTTCACTTCTTGGGATTTATGCTGCAGATATACTTGAGTATGTAAGCTACATGGGGGCAAGGATAAATTTGTTTTGTTCACTTCTGGTATTCCCAAGCACATACATGCCTTCTACATCATAGGTATTTGATAACCATGTGCTGAATGACTAAGTAGAAGAATGATTGTGAAGTGATGTGTGTACAAGGTTATTCAAGACAGCACTCTTAACAGAGAGAAAAAGAACAGAAACAACATAAATGTTTAGTTAAGTAAATTATGGTACATCCATATAATACAATTCTATTCAATGGTAAAATAAAGAATAATGATGCTCTTTATGTTAAGATACAGGTGGTTTCACCCTTGCTAGTTTGGCTCAGTAGTTAGAGCTTTAGCCTGCGGGCTGAAGGGTCCCAGGTTCAACTCCAGCCAAGGGCATATACCTTGGTTGCAGGCTAGCTCCCCAGCCCAGGTCAGGGTGCATGCAGGAGGCAATCAATTGATGTGTCTCCCTCACATCGCTGTTTCTCTCTCCCTCCCTCCCTCCTTCTCTCTGTCTCTCTCCCTCCCACCCCCCATTCCACTCTCTCTGAAAAGCAATGGAAAAAATACCCTCAGGTGGGATTAAGAAAACAAAAACAAAAAAAAGCTCCACCCAGATATAGATGATTTCAATATACTAACCATTAATTTTACTTTTTTTAAAATTAGGAATATATATGCATTTGCTTAGAATTTCTCTGGAAAAATACAAGAGATTGGTAACATCGGTTGTCTCAAAGGAGGAAAATTGGATGCCAGAGCAACTGTTATAGGGAGAGATTTCACTGCAGATCCTTTTTTTGAAATAAAAGTTTTAATAGATTGTTAAAGTGTAACAGATTTAATAAACCAAGCATTAACCAAAACATGGCATGTGTTTCTCCCCACGAAAATAAGAAAATAGAATTAAAGACCCTAATCAACAAGGCATATGATAACTTAAGCTATAGGTGTGCAGATGAGATTGTTCTAAAATATGGAAGTGGAAGATGAGTTTGCATTTTATGCTGTAAGCAAAGGATAACCATTTAAAATTTTTCTCTTGGTAAATTAAGTTTTTCTTTTGATGAAGCTTAATATATCCATTTTTTCTTTTATACGTATTTCTTTTTTTAAAATATATCTTTATTGATTTCAGAGATGAAGGGGAAGAGAGAGAGAGAGAGAGAGAGATAGAAACATCAATGATGAGAGAGTCATTAATCAGCTCTTGCACGATCCCCACTGGGGATCAAGCCCGAAACTTGGGCATGTGCCCCGACCAGGAATCGAACCTCAATCTCCTGGATCCTAGGTCGATGCTCAACTACTGAGCCACGTCCGGCTGGGCATCTTTTATATTTATTTCTTTGTCTTCTCTTGGAAGTCTTTGCATATGCCAATGTTATGAATACATTCACCTCCATTTTTTTTTTTCCTATAGTTTAGCTAGAAATGCATTAGTTATTTTTAAGCACTACATTCCTCTGATTATGTCCACTTCTAACTTTGAAATGAATAGGACTAATAATTTGGCCTATCAATTTATAAGTTTTAGAATAAATATCTATTTAGTATATGGGCCTTAAATTATTATAAATGAACAAAACTAATAGTATTTGTTGTGTGGTAGTTCAAACAAATTAACACAACATTACACCAGTGAACTTCCAACTCCTGGCTTATTAATTCATTCATGTCATTATCATACGCTTTGTTTGTTTGTTTGGAAACCTTTAGTAAGAGAATATTTTACTCTTTAAATGTCAGACTTCAAAAGATGTTCCTGATTCAGTGTCTCAGACAGATAATTTGTTGAGTCAATAAATGACTAACAAACTGATACCAAATATCTCTTTGACACATAAAATAACTAAGATTCTTACGAGACTGAAATCTTTACTAACTTATATAAGTATATAAATATTCATATACCTGTATTTCTTCACGTTCCTTTTTATCTGGAAAAGTTCTTGCAACTGTAGTATATGTTTCAAAAACTTTGCGTTTATTTTGTAGCTTCCTCATTTCTTCCTTTTTAAACTCCTTTATTCGAGCCAATTCATTTGCTTTCTGTTGTTCAAAGTCTGCAATTTCTTTCCTAAAATAAGCAAACCATGTTATCTAAGGGGACCATCTAAATATAATAATCCACATGTGGCACCAAAATGGAACACCAGGGACAGCCTGCTAATGAGGAGCTGGAGTCTTGGTAAATCCATTTTCAATCCATAGCACTGAAACAACAGCCAATTATTTAAATAAAGCACCTCTCCAACAAGCATCCACTAGGCACCTACTATAAATAGAGCACTATGCTGGAGGAAACACAGTGGAATAACTAAACATCCTTACTCCCATGAAGCTTCTTACACCTAATGGAAGAGACAGGCAATAATAGAATAAATAACATATATGGAACATTAGGAGTGGTATGGAAGAAAATAAGCAAGGAATGACGTTATATAATATCAGGATAGGAGATTAAAATTACAGATGGGGTCATCTTCTGAGATAATATTTAAAGCAAAACCTGAAGAAAGTGAAAGAATAGCCATGAAGATATTTGGACAAAACAGTTCAGACAGAGGGAACACCACATGCAAAAACTCTGATATAGGAATATGCCTGATGAATTCAAAGAACAGCCAAACCACCAGTGTAGCTAAAACAGTGAGCAAGAGACAGAAAAACAAAACAAACCAAAAAAAACCAAAGGCCAGATTAACTAGGGTCTTACAGACCACTTGAAGACGCTGGTATTTAGCTGAGAAGAATATTGATCAGAGGGACTATCATAACCCAGGTTCATTCTGCTGTGATAAGAGCATAGGGAGAGTGACATCAACAAGACAGTGGAACAGGAGGACCCTGGCTCACATCCCCTCACATAAACAAAAATCCAACAGCCATCCATGAATGTAAGTGCTTTTGTAGAAGCTCTAGGATTCTGATTCAGGGAAAACCAGGTGAAGCCTTAAGATCAAGGACAGCCAGCTACTAAGAGGAGGCAAGCCCATGTCCCAGTGGTAGACTTACTAAACATGGTCCAGACTGCAGAATAAAAACAGCCTAGGCTCCCTATGGACTTAGCCCCAGCTCCATCTACCAAAGGACTCAGAAGAGCTACAGGCATCTGTGCCCCTGATAACAGGCCCACAAACCTCAGTCCCAACCATAGATCCTGAAACAACCCTAAGACCTGGCTCCAGCCTGCTATATTGTGGTACTGGAGGCAGTCCTGCCCACCCAGGGACCCAGCAGGAAGATGCCCAGGAACCTGCAGTAGCCACATTCATCCTTATCCCTGGCAACAGATCCCCTGCCTACAGACTCAACAGTAGACCAAGAAGTAGCCCCATGACCTGCTTGACTGTGGACCCAAATGCAGTCCTGTCCAACCAGGGATTTAGCAGGAACCATGTCCACCTGCACCACTGATAACAGGCCTGCCAACAATGGACCCCACAGTGGACCCAGAAGCAGCCACATGATTTGGTTACAACCCCACTCAACTGTGATTCTGGAGGCAGACTAATCAGTCCAGGGATCCAGCAGGAGAAGGTAAAGACCTGTCAAAATCAATCCGTAAAAACAGGAAGAGGTATTTGCTCTTTCAAATGCAAAGACATCAACCCAAGATTACATGGATCATGAAGAATGAGGTAAACATGACAACACCAAAAGAAACTAAAAAGGCTCCAGTAACCAATCCCAAAGAAATAGAGATCTACAAATTGCCTGACAAAGAATTCAAAATGAATGCTTTACAGAAACTCAGCAAGCTACATTAGAATACAGATAACTCAACAAAATCGGGGAAACAATACATGAAACAAAATGAAAAGTTCAACAAAGAGAAATAAAAAAATGAAAAAAACATAGAAATTGTCAAACTGAGAATACGATGGATGAATAAAATAATGAAATAGAAACCTTCGATATCACATTCAATCAAGCAGAAGAAAGAATCTATGAACTGGAAGACAGGTAATATGAAATTATAGTCAGAGGAGAAAAAAGAATGAACAAAGCCACTTATAAACAAGGACATAAAAATGAAGCCACATAGAGAGTGGTAGGAAGTATGGAGGCGTAAGAGGGCTGACTGGGCTCTCATAGGCAGCAGCTGAAGTTCTAGAGGGATAGCTCAGCTGTGGGGGGTTCCCCCTGAGAAGTCTGCAGTTCAAACCCCAAGCTGTGCTCCCCAGCCCAGATTAACAGAACCAGGAAAGGTGCCCACATAACATCTGGCTGTGAAAAACACTGAGGGTTCTGTCAAGCAGGGAGAGATGGCTAGAAATGCAAGCAAACCATTAAAGAGCCAATGCACTAAATTTCATTTGTGGGAACTCTCCTTGGGCTCTGGCAGAGTGGGCTAGCGCTGTGGGAGGAGAATCTGTGGTTGGTGGCTATTGTGAGAGAGCGGAGAGGACAGCTTCCCAGATCCCCATGCTGAGTCATTCCACCATGCTGCAGAAACCATCTTTCTCAGGCGGAGCTTTCCTATCAATGAAGCTTTAGCCTGGGGAGGAAGCAATTGCCCCACCCACTGGAAACCCTCTCGCCCTACCCTGTGGAGTTTAAGCCCTGCAGAGCTCTACAGTCTGAAGCTCATGAAGTGACTAAGACTAAAAGCCTGCAGGCAGAAGCGGATCTCTGGAAGCAGTGAGTCTTTGCCTGACCTGCTATTGGGCCTAAGGATAGGAAAAGCAGACCTTGGTGAACAGCTTGGTCCTTTCCACACATAACCAGCACCAGCAAATGGAGCCATAAACTGTAGATCACTGATAGATCCAAACAGGGTACTCGGGGACAGTCATAAACAGTGTCTGACACTGGCTTGCACCAGAGACCCTGGGAAGAGGCCCAAAACCAGTAAACCCAGTGACCTGCTTCAGACAACAACAGAGTAATATTCAATAAGCTTCAAAGCAGTGTATCCACAAGGAGATACTGGCAGGCTCCAAACACAGCTGAGGTGAATTCCACTTCACATGATAAGCCAAGGATCAGAGCAGCAAATTAGAAGACAGACTAGAAAAAATATCACTCAATCAGAGAACCAAAAAGAAAAAAACAATTAAAAAGCAGGAAGACAGTTTAAGGAAGCTGTGGGACAACAAGGAACAGAACAATATCTGCATCATAGGAATATAAGAAGGAGAAGAAAGTTAGCAAGGGATAGAGAACCTGATGAAGAAATAATTTCAGAAAACTTCCCTGACCTGGTAAAGGAAAAAGTCACACAAGTTCAGGAGGCAGAGTTCCAAGAAAGAAGAACCCAAAGAGGCCAACGACCAAACACATCATAATTAAAATGCTAAAAATCAAAATCAAGAAGAGATTCTTAAAGGCAGCAAGAGAAGCATCATACTTAATGGGCAAAAACTAAAAGCGTTTCCCTTAAGAACAGGAATAAGACGGGTGTCTACTTTCACCACACTTACTCAAAATAGTACTGGAAGTCTTAGCCACAGCTATCAGACAATAAAAAACAATAAAAGTCATCCAGGGAGAGGAAACAAGATGACGGCGTAGGTAACAGCTGCACCCGCCGCCTCCCACAACCACATCAAAATTACAACTAAAATACAGAACCACCATCACTCAGAACCTCCTGAAATCTGGCTGAACAGAAGCCCTACAACCAGGGAACTGAAGAAGCACCAAGACCAGTAGGAGGGGCACAGATGCGGGCGGATCGGGGCTGAATCGGAGACGTGCCGCGGGCCCACACCGGGTGCCGTGGTTGAAACCAGGGAGAGAATCTCGGAGGTGGGGGTTTTCTGGAGGAGTGAGGGGGTCCCAGCCCCACAGCAAGCCCCCAGCCGAGGGCTCCAGGGCCGGGAAGAGACGTCCCCACAACTCTAGGCTGTGAAACCAGCAGGGACTGTCCCTGAGGGTCACGGAGGCTGCGGGAGCCCCAGGCAGCGCCTCTTAAAGGGCCCGCCCATGGACTCACTCAGACATGCTCCCTCTGAGTGCCAGCGCCAAGCAGCAGCCTGAAAGGAACCTGGGACACTTGAGGAGGAACTAACCTGCCTGAAATCCGGGTGAGAGGTGGAGGGCCAGCTTTCTCCCAGGCAGAAGAGCTGGCAGAGGCCATTGCTCCTTTGGCAAGGCCTCCCAGCACACAACCTGCAGGCAGGCGCCATATTTGAATTGCCAGCACCTGACTCACACCTTTGGCCCCGCCCTGATGAGTCCCAGAGGCCCCGCCCCTCCTACCTGCAACCTCATCCAAGCCATTTCCAGTGGCTTTTCTAGGCAAGTGGCCTCTCAAGCCTCATGCTTAGGACTTTCCTAAAATCTCTTAAACAAGCAGCAGCGGGCCCCATACAGCTTGATAAGCAGCCCCAGGCCTGACACTAGTGGCAGCCTGCATTGGCTCATAGCTTGGCCTCTCCTGGACAACGACAAGCCCAGCACAAGTAGCAGCCAACTACGGTTTGCTGTGTAGCTCAGGCTCGGTGGCCCTGGGCAAGGCACTGGCACAAGCTGACTTTGCACCTCCCAGGAGGTCCCACAGACAGTGCAACTGGTGGTCATACTCGACCATGCTGGATTACAACCCTACCACATAAACGAGTGACACTCGAGGGGCCCACTTGATGAACACCAAAGCTCCACTGAAGTAAATCCTGATCCATAAGGGTGCCTCCAGCACAGCAGCTCTTTGGCTATAGTTGCAGCTGGTCCTCACAGCTGATTGGCCTGAGGTTCAGTTCCGAGGTTCAGTTCCTTCTAGGGACGCCAACAGCAACCAAGGCTCAACTACAACAGGACAGTGCACCAGCCCACACAGGGGAGCACCTAGAAGGCCCAGCTCAGGTGACTGGGGAGGCTGAGCCACTGGACCCTACAGGACACCTACTACACAAAGCCACTCTAAAAATTCCAGAAAACATACAGCTCTACCTAATACATAGAAACAAATAGCTGGAAGCAGCCAAAATGTGGAGGCAAAGAAAGATGTCACAAAGGAAAGAACAGAAGAAATCTCTAGAAGAGGAACTAAATGAAATAGATCCAAGCAAGCTAACAGATACAGAGTTCAGAATTTTGTTTATAAGGATGTTTAAGCAGACTATTAGGGAA